GGAACGTACCCTGGTACTATATTATATGCCGGACCGTACCTAGCCTATTACACTAACGAGTCTAGGGAGTCGCCTACGCCTACTCCCTAACCCGAACCGAACCCTAACCCTAATCCTAACCCTAACCATATCAAATAGTGACCAGGTACGTTCTGGATAACCGGACCGTACCCAGGGTACGTTCCGACAGTACCCTGGGGGACATAGAACCTATGAGCATTACTCAAGGCTAAAGAGATTAGTTAGCGCCATGCTGGGGAAGAATGACCCCCAGGACAGGAGGGCAGTCTACCCCTGTGAATGTGCTATTTTGTTTATCCATATAATTATAATCCCTAAGTTTGTACCTAAATTACGGACTCTATGCAAACTGATAAACAATCCTTACTATAAAGAGGCTAATCTTGTGTGTGTGGGGTGTGTGTGTGTGTGGTAGGGGTGTGTGTGTGGTGGTGTGCGTCGCGTGGTGGAGCGTGTGTGGTGTGTGTGTGTGTGTGTGTGTGTGTGTGTGTGTGTGTGTGTGTGTGTGTATGTGTGTGTGTGTGTGGTGTGTGTGTGTGTGTGTGTGTGTGTGTGTGTGTGTGTGTGTGTGTGTGTGTGAGTTTACGAGCCTGGACCTAGAGGAGAATATGCGCGGCGCCTCTCCAATACCTTAGGAGGAACACTTATCTTAAGGAGGAGCTCCTCCTAAGGATAATCTCGCAATCACTCCTATTCGATCCTGGAATGCTATTCTGAGATTTTCAGCAACTTCCTCGTAAGGAATTTCCAGTTCCCGCCTGTTCGTGTGCATTTTGTGTGCATTTTACACACACACGAGTGTGTGCGGCACGCTTTTCGACACACTCCGCTCTGCCACGCCCCCTATGATAGATGAACGTACGAGCTCACAAGCCCCTCTCACGAGCTTGTGAGAAGGGACGGGTACCAGTCTATCTTTCTTCGCTACGAATCTTCCTCGTAAGGAAGCACATTTGTGTGCTTTTTGTGTGCATTTTGTGTGCATTTTACCCTTACGAGGAATTATGTACACACACTTCCCTCCGAGGTGTTCCTAATTATGAGCAAATATTTCATCCTCGTATGACCTGCTCCCAAGGCCATGATATGCGCAGCACACTTCCTCACAAGGCAGTTTCCTCTTGGGTCCAGATTCATGGGGCATGTGTAATGTTGATGTGTGTGTGTGGTTGTGTGTGTGTGTGTGTGTGGTGTGTGTGTGTGTATGTGTGTGTGGTGTGTGTGCGCGCGGCTGCCGCGGGCGCTGCGTGCGTGCGTGGCAGTGCGTGGTGCGCGCTGTGTGTGCATGTTGTGTGTGTGTGTGTGTGTGTGTGTGTGTTGTCGTGTTGTGGTGTGTGTGTGCTGTTGTGAGTGTGTGTGTGTGTGTGTGTGTGTACGTGGTGTGTGTACAGGCACTGAACGTTTCAATAAAATAATAAATGGCTAAGTAAATACGAAATCTAATACTAGTACTACAAAATTCTTAATGTTTCTATACTCTCTTTCACCTATTATTGCCGACAGTTTCCTGTCAATTCCGTGTAAATGTTCTATGCACACACAGCATGCACGCACCGCCGCCATTGCTCACTCGTGGCACAGTGACTGTGATATATATATAGTATATATATTGTATATATAGTATATGTAATAGTATATATATATATATGTATATATATATATATATATATACTGTTAATATATATATTAACAGTCACTGTGCACATGCAGTGAGCAATGGCGGCGGTGGTGTGTGTGCATAGAACATTTACACGGAATTGACAGGAAACTGTCGGCAATAATAGGTGAAAGAGAGTATGGAAACATTAAAAAATTTGTAGTACTAGTATTAGATTTCGTATTTATTTAGCATTTATATTTTATTGAAACGTTTCAAGTGCCTGCATGCATGCATGCATGTGTGTGTGTGTGTGTGTGTGTGTGTGTGTGTGTGTGCAGTGTGTGTGTGTGTGTGTGTGTGTGTGGACTGTTGTGTGTGTGTGTGTGTGCATATGTGTGTGTGCTGTGTTTGTTTGACCTCGCTTTTCTCCGTGATTTTGCACTCAATCGCGGTAACTGAAGATATAGTCAGAATCACCACTAGCTTCTTGCAAGTTCTTCTGGCTGAGACAAAAATTTAAAAAAGTTAAAAAATTAAAAATTAAAAAACCTATTCCTCAATAGATGGCGCTACATCTCAGATTGAGAGCCTTACAAATTACAGATTACAATCATGCACCCTGCTTTCACTTTCACTTTAACTTTCCACTTCTTCTTTTACGTCAGGCACCGTAGCTGCCATGTACGCCAAGCAAGTAGCCATGCGTGGCCATTAGACTGTTTTTCCAAGCTGTTCTTTATCCTCACCAGTGCAGATGGTGAGTATAGTCTGTATAACGTGATTATTGAGTTATTTTTGAGAAAAAACCCTCTAGATCATAATAGATTATTTCGATGATGGATTGCACAGTAGACTATAACTTATAAGTCTAAAGCTTCTAGTACTATATTTAAGCGCCGCGAACATTGACTGCCGCAGGCTGTCGGCAGTCGATCGGCCTGCGGCAGTCAGATTGTACGCGGGCCTTACCCAGCAAAACACGGAACATTCTCGAACGATTCGCTGGAGTTCTGAGTTTGGTTATACAATTAGCCATAAATAATTCTAAAGAAACATTCCCCATATCGTATGCATTTATTGAGTTTTTACATTGGTGAGAGAGTATGTCTTGGAATGTTCGTGAAAACGTTTAACCGTCCCGATAGGCACGAAAATTGCCTGATTTTATGTGAAATGTTGCAAAAGTATAAGCACATGCAAGCGTATATGCAATGATATTTTTTGAATTCGCAAGTGGGACTACGGGACGGATAGCACGATACCCCTAAATGTCTCAGAGGCCTACCGGTAGCGGTAGCTCCGATATTGCGTATACATCGCTTATTCCCACACAAATAGATGTCAGTTCACTACTAGATAATTAATCTCCAAGCCTAATGTAAATTAAAATTAATTAAATTAAATTATCTAGAAATAACTTAATCCCAAAAATGCTTAGCGGCTGACACTATGTATCTGGGGATGTGTTTTCAGTTCACGAGATACAGGTTCAGTTCAGTTGTGTTATTGAAAGCCAAAAGATATTATATACACCATAGATTAATTTATCTGTGTTTAGAATGCTATCGATATACAGAGTCAGTTGCTTTAATAATTTGTGTTAAGGTTACGGATAGGGATAGATTATACTGTTTTGTACTTCCTGTCTGCCGTGTGTGTGTGTGTGTGTGTGTGTGATGGTACTGCCGTACTGGAGACACTAAGATAAGACTGCAGCGCATACGTAGTGTTGCTGCAGTTAATATGTCATTTTCGGAAGTTGATCAATGTTATGTGAATGTTTGTAAAAACGTTCTCAGAATGTCAGGAAAACTCCTAAAACACGTTATTAGAACGTTACTGAATAATGTTCTGCTAACCTAAATGAAACATTCCCATAAAATTCAAGGAACATAACTTTGTTAGCTGGGTATATAGTATTATACTATAACCTAAGTCTAAAGCCGCGTTCACACAGACGTTTTTGGCCCTATAGCCTAATTAGGCCCGCGCCAGATTTGCCTCGAGCCGTGCGTTCACACGGACGGTTTTTCGGGCCGTGCCAATTTTAATTGGCACGAGCCAATTTGGTCCCATCGAAAACGTTGGACCAGGCCCGAGCCAAATTTTAGCACCAGCTTTCGGCGAGCGGTAGAATCGCGGTTGAGCGGTAGATGCCGCGAGTGTCGAACGTGGACGAAATAAAGTCCAAAACAGTATAAAAATTCGAAAAATTTGATCAGGATGCACGTTTTCAAGATTGATAATTGTACTCGGAACGGAAGTAAACACTCTAAATCGTACACAATGCCATCTCGCGACATACTGCCAAAGTATCTGTGAGATATATTTGTGCATTAAAATTTATTTGAATTTGAATTTGAATTTGACAGACAGTATATTCACTTGCGTACGTGTGAACGCTCCGAATCAAACCGGCCCGAGCCAAATTTGGCCCGAGCCAAATTTAGCCCATTTGGCTCGAGCCAAACCGTGACTGTGTGAACGCGGTATATATTCCAATGTATGATGGAGTTGTCCCAGTGGTCACATGCGTCTAAACCAGGGGTGGGCAAACTGCGGCCCGCGGGCCGCTTGCGGCCCTCTACGGGGTTCTGTGCGGCCCGCGGAAGCCTGCAGCAAATAATAAAAAAAAAATTGTTTTTTAAATCAATAAATTTTTGTGAAAGTCAACATGTTTGTGCTGGAACCGAGGCTGACTTTGTCAGTGTCATACAGATTAGTGTTCTATTGTCTCTGGTTCGCCCTGCAACACCATTTCAGCTAATTATGGTCCAGAGATGGCGCCATTGAGGCGAAACGCACGTATTATCTTAGAGCGCACCGCCAAATTTTAAAAGGTGCGGCCCTTTGACTTTTCATGGCCCACTGATGCGGCCCTCGCTTTGAAAAGTTTGCCCACCACTGGTCTAAACAGAGGGAAATTTTCCTCCGATCTGTGTGTGTGGAAATACACCCCGCCCACTACCGCCGCATTTGCTATTATGCTATGACCGGTAAGAACATATGTACTAACTATCATATGGAGCGAACGATTTCAGTTACATTTCTATAATTCTATAAATCTATTGTATCCTTACTATCTGTACTATAATTTGGCTAATCTTGTGTGTGTGTTTGTTTGACCTCGCTTTTCTCCGTCATTTGTCACTCAATCGCGGTAACTAAAGATATATTCAGAATCACCACGTCTGGGAGATGGTTCTGGCTGAGACAAAAATTTAAACAAGTTAAAAAGTTTAAAAAAACATAAAAAAACCTATTCCTCAATAGATGGTGCTACATCTCAGACCCCCCCCCCCCACTGCCACATTCCCCCCTGCTTTGACTTTCACGTACACCGTACTGACACAGTAGCCAGTGGCCAGTAGCTGTGCCAGTGTTCTGTTGTACCCAGTGCAGTGGTGAGTAATTCTATAAATCTATTCTATAATAATTATATAATTCTATAAATATTTCTATAATTCTATAAATAGACACATGTCTTACCCCTAATCTCTGTGAATGTTGAGTCTATTGAAGCGAGCAATTAGATCCTAATTATTTGCAAATATTTCCACGGCCGCGATAAAAATTATTAACATTAATATACGGCAATTCAAACATGCCAAATTTATATTCTTAAATTTCCTGAACTTCTACAATTCCCTTCAAAAATTCCTTTAAAATGCTGCAAAATCACAAGCAATTTCTGGGAAAATTCCCCTGAAAGTTGAAGCATGTACTGCCTACACTGTATTCCACCCCCCCCCCACACGCAGATTCCCCCCCTGCTTTCATTTTCACGTTCACTCTGCTTTCGACGTATACGCTACTGACAACAGTACAGCCAGTGGCCAGTAGCTTGTACCAGTGTTCTGTTGTACCCAGTGCAGTGGAGTAGTTTGTGATTATGAGTTATTTTTGAGAAAAACCATCTACATCTAATATTTATTTTCAATCATTCATTCCTTTCAACCAAGTGGTCACCAACTGAGCACTTTTTCCCCTGCTCACTTATAGAATTGCGCTCTTTGTTTTTCTTCCCAAAATGTTTTTGTTCTGTTCTTTTCAGTTGCATGAAATATTTAACTTCAACTGTGTCACTTACATGAAGTTTATATTTTAAGGCACGATTGGTCGTTGTACGGGTATTAGTCTGCTGTAGTAAGTATAAAGAGGCTAATCTTGTGTGTGTGTGTGTTTGTTTGACCTCGCTTTTCTTCGTGATTAGCATTCAATCGCAGTAACTGAAGTTATATTCAGAATCACCACGTCTGGGAGATGGTTCTGGCTGAAACAAAAAGTTAAAAAAGTAAAAAAAAAAAAATTTGTATTAAAGGGACAGTAGCCTCTAGGATTTTACTGCCATACAACTGTACTTACTGTATCAACAAATCGTCTATACCCACATGTATTTGTCACCAGATACTTAATTAAATATTTACACATCAACGCTACGAAATTTGAACGGCGCCAGGACACCCGCGACCGTGCTGCCACCCTGAAAAAGTTGCGTATTTGCATTTTTATTTGCAGGTAAATGACGAGGGCTAATCACAAAAGTGCAATTATATTTATACCTAAATGGCTATTTAACGAACGATATTCATTTTAGGGCAAATTTATCCATATTATAACTGAAAACTATATGTCGTTTATAAAAGATATACAATTCCTTTGCTTTTAAATGAATAAATAAGAAATACCCTCGGCTACACCCTTGGCTAGAAAGTGGTTTGCGCAACTTCTCAGATCGTGCGCTCTTGAGTGGCGCCACCGTCGTCGTAATCAAACTGTAATCGTTAGTTTTAAAACATTTTTTTAAATATTTCTAATGCGTGATTGAACATGAAAACTTTTTATGTAGCGCAATTATAACCTAAATTAGGCTTGAAAATAACCCTAGAACCTAGAGGCTACTGTTCCTTTAAGTCAAAATTCAATCAGCCGAATCAGCAATCAGGGAATTATTGCCGCTGTGTTTTGACCGCCGCTGTAGCGTAGTCGTAGGGAGCTCGGTTTCATACCGAGATTCCAGTTTCGAATCTCAACTCGGGGGAAAAAATTCTCCTTTACTTTTTGACTCTTTAGTAGGTACTTCTGCCCATTCAGCGTTTATTTCAAAATTTAAAAAATGAATTTTACCACATTCATTAAAAATAAATTTAAAAAGTTAAAAATTGAAAAACATTACTTTACTATTTTTTTATTATTATTATTATTTACTACTATTATTATTTATTATTATTTTCATGTCTTTTATCTTTATATTATTTTTTATTGTTTGGGATTGGATGGATGGCGATGCGGGTGGGGTCAGATGCCGATGGGATTGGATAGGATCCCATGAGATGGCATAGGATGGGATTGGATAGGAATGGGATGGATGGCATGGGGTGGCATGGATGGGGATGGGATGGGATGGCGATAGGATAGATTGGATGGCATGGCATGCATGGCATGCATGGCATGACATGCGATGGATGGATGGATGGAATGAGAGGGATGGACTGGCTGGATGATGATGGATGGATGCATATGGATAAATACATATAGCAGGGTTCTCCCCAGGACGAAATTGAAACAGCGGGGAGTGGAAAGGGGGAGGGGAGGGCGGAGGGAAACTAGGGGGGTCCGGGGGCCTGGTCGAATCACTGGCCAGCAAGAACAAGTCCGCACCTGCCAGCTACAACACACGCGCATCTATTGACTATATATAACAACATTAATATATATAAGTTATAATAACTACTATAAACAACTATAGCTACTATAACAACTATAACTACTATAACAACTATATATAACGTTGTATATATAGTGAATAGATGTCGTGTGTGCTGTAGCTGCAGGTGCGGACTTGTTCTTGCTGCCAGTGCGGTCGAATCGGGAATCTTGCGAGAGTGGCCCTCAATTTGTCAGCTACTTTTTTTTTAAGCGCGCGGCGCGCAAATAATTTAAACGTGGGCCGACCAAACATTGCAACCGGGGGTGAGAGAGTTATTCCAAACGGGGGGAGTGCGCCTTGTTTGCGCAACGTAGGAGAAGCCTGTATAGATAGATTGATAGATAGATCTAGATAGATTTTGCAGTATTTTCCTTTCAACCAAGTGGTCACCAACTGAGCACTTTTTCCCCTGCTCACTTATAGAATTGCACGCTTTGTTTCTTCCCAAAAATTTTTTTTGTTTCTGTTTTATTTTCAGTTGCCTGAAATATTTAACTTCAACTCTGTCACATATATGAAGTTTATATTTTAAGGCACGATTTGGTCGTTGTACGGGTATTAGTTTGCTAGTGATTTATAAGACATAGACGCTGAACCAGCCTTACAGGCTTTCCAGCGGCCCTAAAATTCCTAAAAATTCTAAAATTTTGAGCTCGCCCTTAAATTCCTAAAAAAAATTAAAAAATGTATGCAATTCCTAAAAAAGGGCTAAAATTTTATTCAAATTTCTAAAAAAAAAAATTCACAGACATGTTTGGAGTTTTTGGTGATGAGATGATGAACTTTTGGTTTGTAATTATGTCTAATGCAGGTTCTCCAACCATTCCTCATTCTGCAGAATCATTACGATTTCTAGGCTTAATTTCCGCATTCTGCAGCGGCAAGGTTATATTCCTCATTTCAGTTGCACTGTACAAAATTTGCACTCATTGTTCGTATTGTTCGCTTGGACACATTTTTTTTTCCAGGCATCTGGCATGTATTTGTATCTGGCATGTCTACGGTAAATGGAATAGCCTAGGCAGACAGGCGCTGTCTGCAAGGTGTCGCGTAGTTTGTCTGATAATCAGACAAGGGTTGTAGGATTGAGTCTAGGGTTGAGATAGTGTTATCAGACATGAGAATATAGCCCACAGTATGCCTCAGAATGCAGGAAAATGGCTTAAATATTTCAAAATGTTCTGTTTTCCAGACCCCCTAGCACTTGCATGCCTATGGCACGCGGGCCTTCCTGCACCAGCCAAGGTACATTTCGCCTCCCATCAATTTCTGAATACGCCAGTGCCACTAGTTACTGATCACCGCGGGAACATTCCGCATTTGGAGTGCACAGGGTTGGAGACCCTGCTAATGGATGTTTTCTAGTTATCTTTATACAGAGTAAGTATTGTGACTCGATCTCTGTCTACCAGTGATTCCTAAGCTTCAGTGTTTGATTATACAACCCTGTTCCTGGCTGGATGTACAAGACATGCCTAATTTGCATGACACTTGATGATGTACAGTCGTATCGAGGACTTAGAGGATAGGAATAGCTGGTAGACTGGACACATACCACATAGAACTGTATCTGTAAGTTAACACGTTGATGTTTATGAAAGGTAAGTGATTTATTTTATCCCTAAAATGTTTCGGTTCATTCCTAAAAATTCTTAAAATAGCCCTAAAAAAACCTTAATTTCTTCCTAAAATTTGCCGTAAAATGTTGTCGAGGACTGCTGCAAAGCCTGAGCCTAGAACATTGTGTAAAGTCATTAAGACGTGATGTCATATATCTGTTTGCGTAGATGTCAATGTTAGTCATCAATATAGGCTCTTTGGTGATATCAGGAGTTAATAAAGACATTTTAATTTTGTCTTTATTAACTCCTGGTGATATCATGGATATATAGAAGAAGACCTTCTTCTATCTTCTTCTTTTTCTTCTATATCTATGGTGATATCCATACTACTGTAAGCTACCGCCACCTAGTGCCAAACAAGCCTACTAAAGTTAACATGTGTAATAGTTTAAGAGATCCTATCTTATCGTTCTCTCCAAAGATGTCTAGGTAGGCTCATAGCAGAATACAATTTCATTCGTAGAATATTATCACTTAGTAACATCAATTATTTGAATATGACCTCTCCTTACAACAGGGATGAGAATTGTCCGCCGATCGGCGGAATTCCGCCGATTTGACAGCCGCGTGAATCGTGCAAATCCGGTGGAAAAAAGGAAAAAGAAATAAAGAGGGGAAAAAAATTATTTCTGTTTCAAATGGCTATTCCAATCAATTCAATATAATATCATTAATATTTGTTTTGACTTCAGCACCAACCAATCCTGCCCGTTGTATGTTTAATTTGTTAAACTGCTAGACAGGTAAACATTAGTGTACTGCCTGTGAACTTTTAACATGGTTTGAGTAAATTTTTATATCGCATGACAATTTTATATTTTTATTATTCATGCTTGAAAGAAATGTTATACTTGTTTTCTACCAGTTTAATGTATATTGTTATTTGAGAAAAATGGACTCTGTAACGGAATCTTTAGGCCATGTGGAGATACATTCTAGCTCAATTTAGGTATTTGCAAAAGCCATACTTGTAATATAATATTATTTTAACAACAGATTTGAGGCCTTCCCCATGACCTTTTGTTGCTAATCTAGCAACTGTACATAATGGCAAAATTGCACCCCTCCCGCACCCTCCCCACTTGGCGGCTATGCCGCCTCGTACTTGTCCTTCGTTATCTTTTCCTCTTTTTTCCCTTCTTGCTGTTCTCAACCCTGAAAATAGTGAAGCAACATTGAGAGAATGAGACGTGAGGGATTCCACATGCAAGGATGGTTAGGGGAGAGGGTGATCATAAACGAAAACTGGGTGGATAACAAGACATCCAGGGGGAGGAGGTGGGTCAATATAATAGAAAAGAAAGTGTGGGATGTGGGTTCTGGTGGGGGTGGGATCGTAAGCGAAGCGAATGTGTACATGACGGGTGTACTGGGGAGAAGGGGGGGGGGGGTGGTAATTGTTAACTGTGACAAATTGAACGACTGCGATACCGTGGGAGAGTGGCCGTGATCGTACATGAAGAGAATGACGTTGAGAATTCCAGCGGGAAAGGATTGGTGCGATTGAGAATAAAGGCATACAGGGAGTACAGGGATTTCTTGTGATGAGGGAGTGGTGTGATTGTACGTAAGCGAAGGTGGGGCACAGCGTGAGACTCCAGAAACACGCGGGAGAAACGGAGATTGTAAACAAAAATTGGGATGGTATTCTGGGATTATAGCCATTATGAAAAAAGTTATGGAACGAGATCGTCGTCTGTTTGCTATCCGTCGTGTTTCTTTGTCGATGGCATCCGTGTCTGCTGAAGAAATTGTACCTTTCCTGCGCTGCTGATAAGGAAGATCTGTACTGGTGCTTTCGAGTTTTTAAGTGAAAAGCGCGGATAATGGAAGACGTAGATAAAACACGAAACGTAGAGAGGAAGTAATCGAGAGAGCAGCGCAACGATCACTGAGTGCGATAGAAAGCTGCTGCTGATGGTGATGATGATGGTAATGATGGTGGTAATGTTGATGATAATGATGATGATGATGATGATGATGATGATGATGATGATGATAATGATGATGACGACGACGATGGTGATTATGCTGCTGATGCTGCTGATAATGCTGATGGGGATGATGTTGCTGCTGCTGCTGCTGCGGCGGCTAATGATTATGATGATTATACTGCTGCTGCTTCTGCTGCTAAGGAGGATCAGGATGCCCAGTGCAGTATGCCACATTCATTACAAAGACTCCGTACATCGATCGCGGTCGTGCATGGGTAATATCGCTCCGTCGTCGCCCCGCTGCCCTGATTCACTTCTAATAAGGGCTTCACGCGAGAGCTGACCTCAGCACCGTTGACTACTCGCTCGAGCCGTGTGATACTGCAGCAGACCCATGCGATGGCATAGGGTGGAGGAGGGGTGGGGGCATAGGTAATCAAAAGCCTCCCGTGTTGCCAAGGCTTAGTTATCCTCGTATATCACGTAGCTACTATATATATAGCTACGTTATAGGGTATTTTCGACGCGCGGCCGTATATATGCGTACGCTGGCTGCATCGCGCGCACTGCCGCGATCTGGCGCGGTTATTGGCTGCCGCAGCTGGTCGTGGTGAGCGAACGAAGCACAGTGAATAGTAGCGAAAATGTTTGCGCTGCGGATCAATATGCCGGAACCATTCTCTCTTTCGCGCGCTTTTTCTCGCTCTCTCTCTCTCTCTCTCTCTCTCTCTCTCTCTCGCTTTCTCTCGCTCTCTCTCTCTCTCTCTCTCTCTCTCTT